ATCCAAGATTGGATTGAGCGTATTCTTATACATATTCCAAAGATAATTGAGCTACAAGGTGGTAATGAGTATATAGAGGGGAGAGATAGGCGTTGTGTAGGAGAGCGGCCAGATTTCGGCTAAATTATTCTTGGCAGGACAAAACTTTTGTGAGGCACCTCCGTATAGGGTAACAATGTTCTAAAATCCATTATCTCCGCATGGTCTATCTCCGTTAACGAACGCCAGAATGCTGCGCCGCAACTATCTCCGCGCGCAGATTCCTACCAGATGCTACTGAGATTGCGGTAGTGGCCACCGAATCAAATGTCCCCGAAACGGACCGACCCGCCCGACCTGGGCATTCACCTTCAGAAACACATCCTCGAGTGTATATATGGTAAATGATGGATGCAGTGGATGATCTATTACAACTCGAATATCAACACTAGCAATCATAAACTGACGAAACATGGCAGCTGTGCACGCCCCAATCACCGCTACGCCAGTAGGAGGTACTTCAACGTACTTCGACACTGATTCCATTGTCGACGGTTCAGCACCCAAAGTAGCGAACAGCGCTGGTTTCTTTAATGCCACCGTTGCCGCCAATCATGTACGACTTCCAGCGTCTAACAGCCCCTAGGAGCATGGCTAACATCTCCCTGCAGAAAGAAGGTGCCGAAGAGCTTGCACTTTTACAGTACATCTACAGCCGCCCCGACGTGGAGCAAATACGGGGAAACCCAGATGCAGTGTGCGACGCCATTGACGAATTTACGGCCACGATCCCACGCGGACTGATGACCATTGGTGCCGAGAAGCGGACATTTATAACAAACATGCTAGCTGCTGCTGAGCCTGCACCGACCTTGTTCCTCGAGTTCGGTTCCTATGTCGGATACTCAGCCATCTGCCTTGCTAGCGCAATGGTGGCTCGGGCAGGCCCAAGTCAGCGTGTCCGCTACATCTCCTTTGAGAAGAACCCTATAATTGCAGCCGTTGCAGCCAGCCTCGCCGATCTAGCTGGTCTCCGGGACGTCATAAATATTAATGTCGGCCCAGCTTCCGAGTCACTGACGCGCTTGGTGAAGGCAAGCACAGTGACCAAGGGATCCGTTGATTTTATGCTGCTGGACCACTGGAAGGACTTTTACATCTCCGATCTGCAACTGTGCGAGAAGTTTTCTCTCATCAAGTCAGGCTCGGTTGTCATGGCGGATAACATTGTTTTTCCTGGTGCTCCAGAGTATCTTGCCTATGTACAGGCTGGCAAGGCGGAGGCTTCGCCAGATGGTCTTACTTGTGCGACTAAGACGGCGGACTTCATTCTGCCTTTTGGTGGCCCAGTAAGCTATATCTACATTGGGGTCGGACTTGTGCTAATGAAATTAGGACCAACTGGCGATTTCAGCGGTATCGTAGGCTCTTAAAGTCCGAGAGCAGAACATCACGAGGGATATGATTTACAATATGTAGATGTACTGCTAGGCGCAACACTCCATTCAGGAATGCAATGAAATTACTAATGTCCAATCCTTACTCCGCACGCCATATTCTACATCTAGTGATGTCGCTTTCTTTTTTGAGTCATGTCGCGTACTAAACAGCAATAAATACATTTAAGCATACGAACGGGTTTGTTACAACTACGATAGCCAGATATGTCACGTAAGAGGCAATTAATATAGTATTAGCATGATGTTGATCACAGCATTCATATCTCTTCTATTTACCGAAGCGCGGAAACAACTTCCTCGCAGCCTCAGACTCGATCGAGTTTCGCGCAGCGTCCTCCATGGACATAGCAGAGATATTCGCAATCTGGGGTACAATGGTCCCCTCTCTCGCAAACGGAAAATCGCTTCCGTACAAAATGTGATCTGGGTCTGCAAAATCACGCAAGAGCTTGATAGGGCTCTCGAACCCCGTCAGTGCAAGGTCATAGTAGAATGACTTTGCTTCTTTGATAAAGTCGTCGGCTGATTTATCCTTCAAGCCAAGGTCAGCCGTCTGGTGTGCGATTCTCGTCGCTACGTATGGAAGTGTGCCGCCGCCGTGCGAGAGAATGATCTTGCAATCCGGAAAGTCGCGGACAATGTTGGACGTGATGAGGTTAACTGCCGTTCGCGTCGTCTCATGAGGAAAATCAATTATGGGTTGCGGAATGGACACGTCGGATGGCGCACCCCATGTTTTCGCAAAAGTCGGGTGGATGAAAACGACAGCTTTGCGACTGTTCAGCTCCTCCCACAGAGGCCGGAAGTCTTGGTGACCAAGATACTTGTCGTCATAGCTTGATAGCAGCGCGATTCCATCGACCTTGAGCACGTCTAGTGCATGACGCACCTCGTCTAGGCAAGCGTCGAGCTGGGTAAGTGGCGGCACTGACGCAAAGAAACCAAATCGATCCGGATGACGAGTCATGATCTCCGCCGTGTATTCATTGACCCAACGGCAAAGCTTTGACGCTTCATCGGCCGGCTTGACAAAAGCGAGTCCTGGTGCACTGAGGGACAGAATTGAAGCATCGATATTGTTACGATCCATAAATTCTAGATCGATCTCTACGTTCCATGATGGGAGCGTAAGTCCTTTGGGAACTCCGGACGCTTCTTTCCATTCTACGAAAAGAATGTCAGTATCCAAGTTGAGCGAGTCTCGATTGCAGTACTCACTCTGCACGTATTCAGGCGGCAGCATATGATGATGGACGTCAATTTTCCCCATGGCGAGCGATCTCATCATGTAGTAATTTCGCTCTAGTCTTGTGAAGTTTCTTTGTCCATTATGAATCGTTGATGGGTGTTGTGAACGGTTCGGCCGAATCGAGTATTAAGTAAGACCGAACCGGGCTTTCAATAACTGCCCGAGTGGTTTGACACGCCGACTCTGGCTAGGTGACCAACGGCAACATGGAACAACTATTGCCACATACCATGTTGAACGCACTATATAGGATGTTAGTCCAGAAGGTTTCAGGATCCACCCATGGCTGCAAAGATGGCATCCCGTGTCGTGCTCAGTCTGCTCTCCCTGGTTGGTTTGACTTCGGCAGTAACTCCAGGGAACATTCAAAGTTACCTTAAGAGCCATTTATCCTCCAGCGCAGAAGTCCTTCTACCGAGCGACCCGGCTTACAAGACCGATCTAACAGAAAGATGGAACTCGTATCAAGCACCGTCTTATGTTGTGGGTGTAAAGCCTAGCACTGCTGAAGATGTTGCTACCATCGTGAGTGCTTGGCTGGACTTCTTATTGCTTGAGAAATTCTAACACATATGCAGGTCCGCTATGCTTCTCAAAATAATATTCCTTTTATGGGTACGGGTGGCGGTCATGGTTACACGACAACGACTAGTGCCATAAAGAATGGCATAAACATCGATCTCGGCGGTTTCAAGAGTATCGCCATAGATGCTGCTGCAAATACGATGACAATAGGCGGTGCAGTCACCTTTGGGGACGTCCTGAATCCCGTCTACAATGCTGGAAAAGAGATTCGTAGGTAATTTCCAAAGCCTCTCCAATCCCAATGCTAATTTAATCGCTCCAGAGATTGGATCTTGTTCATGTGTTGGAATGGTTGGCGCGACCCTGGGCGGAGGCATCGGCGTCTACCAAGGTCTTCACGGCATGATCATAGATGCGCTTCAGTCAGTCACCCTTGTGACTGGCAAAGGCAACATTGTCAATGCCTCGGCTTCTGAAAACAGCGATCTGTTCTGGGGCATCAGGGGCGCCGGCCAAAACTATGGCATCATAACCTCTGCCACTTACAAGCTATCAGACCAGACCAACGGCGGCCAAGCGCTCAACGGTGACTTTCTTTTTCCGGTCAGCGCAAACGCCACTATTTTCAAGATTTTGAAGTCATTTGCCGGAAAGCAGCCAGATGCTTTGTCGTTGACTACCGCCATACAGTACTCGCCTACTCTCAACACGGTTAGTAGACCTCTGCAATACAAGAGCCTGTCGCTGACATAAACCACAGGTAGTGATCATGGTCAATACCGTATATGTAGGCGCTGAAAAGGCCGGAAGAGATGTCATCAAGCCATTTCTCTCAATCAAGGCTCTCCAATCGAATGTGACAATGATGCCATATAACCGCCTGATCAAGGAAAACCGCTTTGGCGCAGATGCACTCGGCTGCATTGCCGGTCTCCCCGAAGCGGCGTACGGCTTGAACTTGTACAACTTTGACGTTGCAACCTACCAAGAGACTCTGGCTGCATACGTGGATTTCTACGCGACAACCAAATTAACAACGTCGTTCATGGTTACGGAGATGTTCCCGACAAAGGTCGCCTTGAGCACGCCCGACGCTGCGACGGCGTACCCTTACCGAGGGACGATGGCTTATCTGTGAGTTCCGGCACACGCTATTTTATCTTTCTAGATTGGGGATTAATGTATCTACAGGTTCATGAGCTTCAGTGGCTTCAGTACAGATGCGCAGGTTTCTGCCATTTCGAAATTTGCGTTGGAAAGACGCGCAGCTTTCGTAAAGCTCAACGGCGCAAAGGGGCTACAAGTCTACGTCAACTATGCGCATGGCGATGAGGGCCGTGACGCTTGGTACACTGCAGCGAAGCTTCCCAGACTCGAGACACTCAAGGGACAGTGGGATCCGCACAACCTCTTCAACTTTACCAATGGCTTTGATTACTAGACGTTTTTTTAACTCGTGGATATCGTCATATCGACTATCTTTGAGTCCATGTACTGTATCATAACTCTAGCGCAGCAATGATTGTAGCATCAGTATTTAGCTTTTTTGTTAGTCACTTGTTAATTGCAAATGACAGTGGCCTTGTTCATTCATCAGCATGGCAGCATGCGAGACACGGCTTGCGTGTTTTTTGCACGAGGGTATTCTTTGATTTTGCATTGCCATTTATAAGAACAGATTAGACAATATGGAGGGTGAAGCAACTTCAAATAAGCGGGCTAATGTCCCAGGGTTTATCGGGCATTGTTTATTAATAGTTTTCGGAAGTATCTTGGTCAAGCTAGTACGGTGTAGGTAGCAAGTAGTAGTTGTAGAGCCAAGAGTACTATAGTATTCACCAGACGAATCACCAGTGAGCCATACTGGCAATCTTAGGTACTTATGTACTCTACATGTGCAGAGTTATAGCGCTCTTAACTAGAAAGGCGTAGAGTCTGGCGTGTTTCTCCATAGTCAAGTTTCGCCTTCAGGAACAAATTGGGCAATGTAGAGTCATGCGATCATATAAAAGGAACGTGTGTTCGCCTCGCGTGTTCACTAGTTCCCAATTATACCCACCCTTCACTGAAAGAAGTCCCTCTATGACATTAGGGGATTTTAGTCTGTAACTAAAAGAAGACACCAATATCGATTGATTGCTAGCCCGTGGACCGAACTAAACCCCTTGCTGTAGGTTAACCGCAATCCACGCCACGACTACGTATTAACCCCCACCCAGCCCCTAGTATATATAGTCTGTGCGATCCCCACTCAAATACGACTTAACGTGGGTGCTAACGAATCAACCCGCTCGCCAGCCTAGTAAGCCCTGAGTTCAGTGGGCGCTGTGGGTGCGGGAACTAACACTGAAAACAACCATGGCTACGTTAGAGCTTGAAGATCAGCTTTACACGACGAAATCCTATCTCTACTCTACCTAGATACCTAGTTACTATTGTAGACTTCTACCACGTCAGGTAATAGGGAGAATCAAGCGGTGAGCCTCGGTGCTTACGCGGTGTAAACATCGTTCTGCTTTTTGGCTTGTTTCGTGCCGATCTTTTGTGCTCTCTCGAATCCTATCGCTTCACTCTCGCTGAGCGACTAAAAGTCACAATGTTTGTAGTTTCTTCAAGCTCAACTACACCGGTATATAAGTTATTAATCTTTCCGAGGGGTATGGAGGACAAAAGTACGAAGTGTGTTGGCAAAATTGTGGGGCATGGCGGGATATCTTGGACATCATGTTTGTGTCTGGTATCTGTGCTTCGGGTTCAAAGCTGGCGGGTGTCCCGTCCCGTATAACGGTTGTCGAGGAAAAGTGGAACGGGCACAGTGCAATATTTATATTTATCTGGAATGCGATGTACTACTTGGACTAATCAGACAGGGATAGAATATGCCAAAGCCCCCTGAGAAGGTTGTTTAATGGCATCTTTCTGTTATAGAATCCTGGCGCTACCCCTAGTACCGAGAACATGTATACTTATGACCTAAACAGCGCTGAAACTAAACTAGAAAGACCTTCCCTAGAGAAGCAAAGCAACAACGCTTATAGGTAGTTAGTAAGCACCTTGTGAAATACATTCCTGGTACAACCTAACACGCCCAAGTGTAGCCTATGCTAGCGGTGAGCCAGTCCAAAATGAATAGGACCGATTTCGGAGATTCATTCAAGAGTCATGAATCGTCTTGACTGGCTAACAGCACAAGATCGTAATCACGGCTTACTTTACCAAAACACTTACCTAGATTCCTTTAACGAGTTGTGGATCTTTTTTAAAAATAGATGAATTAGGCGCTACTATTGCAAAAGTATAAATAATCCCTATCCTTGATTCTCGTTACTTGCTCACATTACCACACTATAAGCTCTTTTTTTGGAAACTTTGAGCATCAAATCCCACTATATCGCCAACATGAAGCTAACTCTTGTGTGTGTCCTGGCTACGGCGCTCACAGCCAACGCCCAATTTTTCACCAATGACGGATGGAACCCGAGCCCTGAAGTAAAATGCCCGCTGAAGACAACCCAACATACTGGGTTTTTTTGCGTACGTAGAGGCCATAACTATGTCAAAGAAGCACAAAGAAAACTAAAAAAAATACTGCAGGGTTTTGGGGCTGGAACGATGAATGAAAACCAATACCCCGATGCCTTTCCTCACTTGCGTCAGAACTGTGGCATTGTTCAGCAACCCTGTAAATGGAAGAACGCCGACGGAGTAGTAAGTTCATGTCCACCATACACTGTCCTAGGATAACAAGCTAATAATCCGCCCGTAGGTTTATTGCGTAAGTTGATATCGCCTTGTATGAGCGCAGCCTCCAGTTATGGGACTAACTCTGTATTAGTGCACTTATTAATTGAGTATGTAATGGGCCACGCGCCCATGATAGGCTGGAGCACTTTGCTCTCACGTCCTCGTCTATGACCTTGACTTTCTCGCCTGCCCTGCCCTGCCCAATAGTCGCTTAGGCAGCAATTAGATATAGCCACCTGCCAGATACTACGTAGCCTAGAGCTTACCTCTTTATCAAATGTAATCTTGTTACCTGGCATGACCCGGTATAGCTCCATTAGCCTAGCCCATTACATACTTGAGCTATTCTGCTTTGAAAAGAGGGTTTCGGGTGGATAACCCAAATCCAACCTTGAGAAAGACTCTTTACTTTATAATTTTCTAGTTTTTCGCGAAGGACAAGTGGTATTACTTCTGATTATTAATCAACAAACTTAAACAGGCTCATATTACATGCCATGTACAAAAGACTCTTTACTTGATGGTCTTTTAACTGTTAAAGAATTGTGTTTGTTTCTACGGATGATGTTAACGTGCTAACGCAGCATATTTCACAGCGCTGCGCTAGTATGCTGAAATTGCCCACAGAAACAAGTGCAAAACTCGAAGTTGCACATTAGCTAATACCTAATCGCCCTGAAGATGATGGTTACTACGATTCTGTGTGCGATGACATGACTTCAAACACTTACCCAAGCGGGCACGACGGTATCAAGATGTTCTTCAGGCTTTCAACAATGTACAGGCTTATAAAAAGACAGTTCATATGTCAAAAGCATTACCTGGACATCGATGAGAGTCTGGTTACCCGGTCAAAAGGGTTGGAGTGTTCGGGCACCACCACGTACTTACTATTAGTCAATACCTTCACAACCTGTGGCGGACAAAACCGGGCGGAAAACAAGCCTCAATGGATTGCGTCATGGAGATTCTGAGATGACAAATGTGTTAACCTTCTTCCAGTTTCCCCGCTTTCGCAAATTGCGGGGGCTGGTGGGGTATGCGGCTGGTCGGAGAATAGAGATATCTATATAAATCAGTACGTAGGGTATTCGGCAATCTTACCTTGCAGAGCACCAAACAGTACACAGACTCAATAACCAGGCAGAAACACCATCTATCCTCATCACCATGGCCAACTCACCAAAGCGTGTGGGGTTCGTTGGGCTTTCTACCAAAGGGTTCGTCGTTATGCCAAGGACCGAGATATCCGACACGTGACGTTGCTTGCTAACACAACATACAGCTTCTGGTCCACACATGCTCACCTCCCGTACCTGCAGAAGACACCACGATACAAAATCACCGCGATTCAAAACAGCTCGAAGGAATCTGCTGAATTAGCAGTGAAGACGTACTCTGTCGATGGCGCCGCGACATACGGCGACGCGGCGTCCCTCGCAAAGGATGCAAACGTCGATATTGTAGCCATCGGGGTCCCCGTGCCTCTGCACTACGAGCCAGCGTGCCAGGCCATCGAAGCAGGCAAAGACGTGTTTTCCGAATGGCCGCTTGCACGAAACCTGGCCGAGGCCGAAGAACTAACGCGCTTGGCCAAGGAAAAGGGCGTAAGGACCATGGTGGGATTGCAGGCGCGCCAAAACCCAGCCATCATGAAGGCGAGGGAAATCGTCGTGTCGGGGAAGCTGGGCAGGATTCTTGGAACGACCCTGTTCGGTCATGTAAGCAGCACTTGGCAAGCGAAAGATGGCTCTGCTAACAAGCTGTCAGTCCAGCGCCTGGGGGCCCGTAATTCCAGATAACTTGTCCTACTCGCTGCTAATAGAGGCCGGCGCCAACACCCTGACCATACCATTTGGCCATACTGTAGACGCACTATGCTACGTTCTGGACAGCGAGTTGAAAGACATCTCTGCGACTCTTTCCAACCACTACCCCGAGGTTCAACTTACCGACGCGGACTCGAAGCCGATCCGCAAGGCCAAGAAGACGGCGTACGACTATGTCAGCATTTCCGCGACCCTGGTCAATGGCGGCGGCAACGTGGATGTGACCTACGCCCCTGCATTGTCACGCTCTGGACGCGACCTGCACTGGGAGATTATCGGCACAGAGGGCACTCTGGTGCTGGAGGGCCCGAAAAGGGGCGGCCACATGCAAATGTTCCAGCCGAAAATCCGAATCGCAGTTGGCGAGGAAGAGCTCAAAGAGGTCGAGGTCGAAAAGGCGGCAGAAGGCGACTTCTCGTTTAACGTGGGCAAGGCGTGGGATGCATGGGCGGGCATCGGGCTTGACAAGGGGCAAACCGTCACCACGTGGGAGGACGCGGTCGTCAGGCACAAGATGATTGAAGCCATTTATCGCAGCGCGGAGAAGGGGACGCGTGAGAACTACGTATGATAAGCCTGACGGATGGCCCCCCTAGTCAGCACACTAGCGCGGGAAAAGAAATGCATGTCGGTTGTGGCGCCTCAGCGAGCCCCTGATGCTTATTCCCGATATTTGCTTTTGACTACCAAACCTTACCGCGATGCAGTTGCCAAGCAGCTTTCCCAGCACACCACTCAGCGCTTTACATGTCCTGCAACACCCTCCCTGGTGTATAGAATACGATGACAACCGAGTGACTACCATGGCCGTTGGCGCTAGAAGCCGCCAAGTCTTCTCTTGGCTCGCTAGTAACTTTCTCTTACGTTATGGTTAGCACGCCGTCACCAAACGTCTTAGTCAAGCACCGAGGGTGATGTCACAAGGCCAAATTGTCGTGCCGCAATGCCAACGCTAAACATGGATCGTCTGTTGCATTCCGGGGAAAAAAAGGTTTGCATCCCTGCGTCCCGTGCTCCCCCTTGCCTTGTTCCCACCACTGTTTCTCTGCCCTGATCCCAGATTGCTGCTTGAACCCGAACTAACCGCTCCCTTTCTGAAGGCTTGGTGTGCTATAGTCGAGAGTCTTGCGCTGTCGGCTGTCGAGCTGTTGGCTTTGGATCGATTGAGGCGGTGTGACTGAATGGTCGGTGGTCGTGGGCGTTCTTTTCGAGGCTGACAGCAACCACGCCCCTAGGGGTAGCATTCCATCATGGCATTGGCATCCTCCTACTCGACTGACAGCATCTCCACCTCCTCCAACAGTTCGCAGGAGAAACTACCGCTGTCCACACGGCCCGCGCCGCCATCTGCGACATCTCCCGTTTGTCCGCCAAAAGAAGCCGGTCCAATCGAACCACAATTCATCACCTGGGACTCGTCGAATGACCCCTTCAACCCCTTCAACTTCCCCGTCGGCATGAAATGGCGTGCCACGCTACTCGCATGCAGCATGACATTTGTTGTGCAAGTCTCGGGCACAATGCTAACATCCGCTGCCGAGCAAATCAACTCTAGCTTTGGCATCACCGACGAAGCATTTCCGCACTCGTACTGGCCAGTCCTAAGCTGGAACTTGGGCGGAGCGGCAGCCCCGTTGCTTGGTTTACCTTTGATGAAAACTTTGGCGTGCGGTGGAGTTATCTGGTCATCTACGTGGTTATGATCCTCTTCATCATTCCGCAAGCCTTGGCCGAGAACTTTGCTTCGCTCGTTGTGACGAGAATCATCACGGGATCCTGCTCGGGTGTCCTGGCCAACATTACGTCAGGCATTGTAAGCGATATCTGGAGGCCTGGCCGAGCGCAGAGCTTCGGTACTTCGCTGTACATATTTGGGCTGCTAGGGGGATTAAACATGGGGCCTGTGTTTGGGAGTTTAGTTGTCCAGTATACCACTTGGCGATGGTACGACGGTGCTTTCCGTATTTTGCATCTTTTGCTGACATTCGGTAGGATATTCTTGGGCCAAATCATATTTTACAGCGCCCTGATGCCAATATTGTTTGTTCTTCTCCCCGAGGTCCGACCGGATGTCATTCTGGCCCAGCGCGCGCGCCATATCCGCGCGAGTACAGGAAAGGAGGTCTATGCTCAGGCCGAGAAACAGCATACAAGCTTGAGCGGGATTCTCAAGGAAACCCTCGTCCGACCAACACGTATGCTCTGCACCGAAGGTGTGGTCCTCTCCTTTGGGATGTGGAGCGCTTTCTGCATAGGGACGGCCTTCATGTTCACCCAGTCCATTGTTCAAGTCTTTTCTGGACTGTATGGCTGGACCTTCTTCGGCACGGGTCTTGTACAGTGCGCAGTTGTTATTGGGGAGCTCATCGGGCTATTTGCGTCGCTGGTCCAGGATCGTTTCTATTTCGAGTCTGCGAAATGGAATGTTGAGAGTCCCGGCACGCCTGTTCCGGAAGCGCGCCTCTACCTGAGTATTCCCGGGTCCTTCATCGGCTTGACTGGCGGCCTATTCTTTTTCGCTTGGACTTCTTACCCGTCGGTGCCGTGGATTGTGCCTGGCATTTCGCTTGCTTTTGTTGGCTTCGGCATGTTCTGCAGCACGGCCGGGGTGACGACGTACGTAGTCGATGCATATGCAAAGTATGCAGCTAGTGCAATTGCCGGCATTGCGTTTCTCGAAAACACCATGGCAGCCTTCTTGCCGCTTGCAACGCAGGACATGTATCGTACGCTTGGCTTTCAGTGGGCCAGCAGCTTCCTGGGGTTCGTGGCGCTGGCATTGAGTTTCATTCCGTTGGTTTTGCTTAGATATGGAAGAGGGATACGCGGAAAGAGTCCGTTTATGAGCGAGGCAGGGTATAAGAATTGAGTTTAGCAGGTCTAGGGTTGGTCGAGCGGTAATATCGGATGATAATGCTATGTCGCTGATGGTGCCATGTTGCCGATCTGTGCAAGTCGCAGTCCTAATGTGCCCAAAATGCTTTTCAACTCAAACTTGGGGCGAGGGCGATTGCTGAGAACCTCAGATCACCGCCCTTCTCACTCTCAATCCTCATCAGCCTGCCGATGCCCTTTTCCAATGCCGCAGGGCTAAGCACATCCTCGTCCGCGCCCAGCGCCCCCCGGTCGAGCGGACCCGTGCGAGACCCCTCGAGTTCCCATAAATGACCGTCTCTTGCCTTGACAAATGCCACAAAATGCTGCCCGGTGTGGTCCTCTCCTACCGTCGTGGGCGCGGCGGTGTCACCGAGCTTCGCTGCATTTGCATGCGCCTTTTCGAATGCATCCGAGTCTTCGAGGACTTTGGCTCGCTCCCAGATTGGCTTTGGCTGCGCCTGTTGACGGATCTGGTCAAGGGTCGAAGCCGGCCTGATGTGTTTTGATGCTTCTGTGTTGAGTAGACAGTGAACTAGGCCTATGCTACCACAGGCGTTGCCAATGGTCTGCTTGAACCATATGACGGGCTCCTCTTCGCCTTTGCCTGTATACTCGGGCTTGCCTTGGTCTTCTGCGGTGCGCGCCTCGTGCCATGTGGGCGTGAGGGGTATGATGACGAGCAGCGCCAAGACGGGTCGGGGAATAAAGGCCAGCATATCCGGATCCGTCAGAGAGTAGATGTCGTGGAAGGCATAGGCGGCTGTGTCCAGCCCGAGCTCCTGTGCCAGCTGATTCATGACTTCTGGGTTGTTCTCCAGCACTGTGAACATCTTCTTCGGCATGATGGTCGTCGGCGCAGTCGGGAACACGGCGAGATGTAGGGAGTTTCGAAACGAGCAGTGTCGAGACATCCGCCGTGGTGAGCAGATTGTATAGTAGATTGGTGTCCAGGCAACCTTGACGCGCACTCGTTGTGGTGGTGTAGGAGCATCATTACACATTCAGGCAGCCAATGCAGGAACAATGGGGCGGCTTCGGGCCCCGGGAGCGCCGACCCCGCCCCAAGCCCCAAGCCCCAAGCCAAACGCGGGGCCTTCACTCGCAGTCGACGCCATGCTATCACCACCAAGCAACCTCAGATGGGCCTCTGTATCAGGCGTCGGTGATTTCATTTTCTTCAATATCAGTTGTTGCGCCCGCATGGTTTCACGCACTTGTCCGCATCCGCAGAAAATCGCGGTTCTCCAAGCAGGGAAAGCCCACATCCTGGTAAACCTCCGGCTCTCCGCAGTAGCTACGTCCAGCAGCGGGTGTAGCTGAAGCTCGCATATCCACAACTGTGGTATATATCTGGAGGACCAACTGCCCTTATGCACATTCAACACACATCAACCCAAGCTTGGCGTTATCACGTCTCGTCGCAGCCCCAGCCCAGCCAGCCTGATGACCACCATGGACGACGAAGCGCGCCAAGCAGTGGCCAGCATGAAGATGCCGCGACGCCCTATCAACTTTGTGCCTGCGACGTCAGGTGAAATGCTCAAACTAGGGCACATTACGTGCCGCATCATGGAAGACGGGTCTAGAACGGACAATCGCATCGGCAGCGCCGAGTTCACGCTGCCGCCGAAGACTGCGGGCCCGCCGGCGCATTGGCACGAGATGCATGATGAGACATTTCTCGTGACCAAGGGCACCGTCCGAGTAAGCGTTACATGATTTCTTTGACCTTATCGTCGCCCTCGACCCATGGCTGTTTGGTTTGCACATCCCTGTCTGGACCCTTAAATACCCCGTGTCTTAAGCTGATTCCCCCCCCTACTCTGCTGCTCGCCACACTAACGCCAAACGTACAAGTTCCACGCTCCAGACGGCGCTGAATACGATGCCCATGTTGGCGACTACGTTACGGTGCCTATTCGCGCGCCACACACGTTTTCCAACCCTACAAATGAAGAAGCAAAGTTTTTCAACACCTTCACGCCGGCGTTTTACATTGACTATTTCAAGATGCTGGCCGACATGAGCAAGACGGACGCCGTCATGAGCAAGGAGAAGAACCTCGAGGCCATGAGCCGCTTTGCCACCATTCCCGCAAAGGACATGATGGGGGACGGTGGGAGCAAGTAGTGGTGTGCGGAAACGAGGGGAGGGGGGCGGAACTCCAAGGAACATCAACTGTCAGCCTCCACTGACACATGGCTGACAAACACAGTCCGCTCGGCAGCGGAGCCGTGCTCGTGCCGACGGACGATACCAGCGTTGAGCCCATTCAGCCACAATGAGCAGACCTGGGTACCAATATGAAGAATGATATACGTACATGTCACCACAACGTATTCTCTCACACACACTCTCTCTCCCTCTCCCTCCTCGCTGCCCCTTCCGCAAAATCCCAATCATCTCAAATCCCCAATGCCGAATCACGCCATTACAACCACGACTACCAAACCCCCCCTTCCCTCCCCCCATGTAACAACATGACGCTTGCCGGTTGGCCCCGAAGGCTGAGGTAAGACCTAGCGCGCATATTTAGTCTTCGTCATGACGCTAGTAGCCCCCTCCCCCCCCCCCAAAAAAAAGTGACCACATGCAGGGTCCAGCAACCAAGTACAGATGCAGGTACGGAGGTGACTGTCAAAAGTTCTTGCTGACAGGGGTGCATTGATTACTGCCGAAAATAGGGCCGAAGCTATGTAGATCGGTCCCGCCGCCCCTCTTTGTACTCATTGCCACCTTCAAGTTTAATGATTTCTTGAATATGAAACGGAATACGCTCTATCCAAGCTTGAATTTGGTGTTGAGGTAGCTCATCCCAGTACTGTTGCCATACTTTTGTCCCTTCCGCCCGACTTTTTGGTGCGCCTCTTCGTGTTGTTTTTCTTTTGAGCCATGGCCAGGCTGCTTTAATAGCGTTGAGATCAGGTGAATTGCCTAGCCATGGGAGCTGCTCCACCTCAGCGTTTCGGTATATAGTTCTTTGAGCGTGGTGGGTATGCGAAGGTGCCTTATCTTCTTGAACAAAGACACGTGGTCTCTCTTTTTGGCACTCCTTTGCGAAGGGAATTAGCTTTGGGATAAGAACTTGAGTCTGGTAACGCCACCAATCAATGCCACCACGACTGCTCTCACGAGCTAGCTTACCCGTCTCTTTTACCCATCTCCATTGTGGAACTCTGCCAGGCTTGTTACGTAATCCAAGCCTCTTTATGCCTGTTGTAAGCTCCCACGCCTCTCTCATGAGAGGCTCTAGAGCCTTATTCAACTCTTCAATCTGGAGAGCGGCGTCTCTCTTCTCCTGCGCAGTCTCAGGCCTCCAGACATGGCAAGGACCTTTGTAGTCGTACGTGAAGCAGCCCCAGAACATAAATTTAGAGTAGCCCTTCCACCGCTCTCAGATAACACTTTTAGTAAAGACTTCATCCAGGCGTCGCCACACACGATAGCCACCGCGACGGTGGTTAAGAACAACAGAAGTCTCATCTAACCAAATAACGTTCTTCCAATCTTCAAGTGTCCAATCTTTATAGGCAAGACACCACTCAAGTCTTTCCTGTCTCATCTTCATCGTCAACCCAGGCTTCCTCGTCAGCTTCGTCTTGTTGTAACCGGCTGCTCGAAGGACTCTCCATACGGTGGACGACGAGACGTTGTAGCCGTGAACACTAAGATCACCAGCAATATCAGCGCAGCTCTTCTCTCTCCCATACCTATCGCGGCGTACGTTCTTAAGAGTAGCGTCGTGTATTTCTTCTTGTTTACGAGGGCGGCCTGCGCGCAGGGCATCTTCGAGGTACTGCGGAAGGATCTTAATTAGGCGTGCGTTAGGCTCAAAGCCTCGCTGGCAGGCTCTACCATAAATTGAGTCGATCGTACGCGGCGATATGCCTATCATTTCTGCGATTTCGCGTGTAGATTTGCCACCAAGAGGTGACTTCAATGCAACAATAAAAGAGCGGGTCGATATATCCGTATTTGGAGCCATGGTAGATCAAAAACACTCAAAAAAATAAGTATACAAGCTATCGCCAGCTTCAAAAAATTGGTGTGGGCGCCAAGAATAGTCGGGCCCATAGGCTGGCGACTTAGCGTGGCGCTAGCAAGAACTTTTGACAGTCACCTCCGTACAGGTGCAAGGCAAAAAAGAAACGAGAAGGAGAGTGACGGGATTTCTCTCGGCACACCCAAGGAAAATGTTCCGCGTGCGAGCCGTTTGCGATGCTCGTTGCAGGGGTGCACACACATATACACGTGGAGGCTAAGGTTTGTATGGTATCCAGGCGTCAAGCTGGGCGGTATGACGATACGAATGCGATGGGATATAGTGGGTTTTCCGCGTATATATATACATACATGGAGATGGGAGATGGGAGATGGGGAATGAAGCTATTGGTGTTGCGCCGTTGTGCTTGGGGATGAATAACACGGGGATATGGGGATCAAGTCGTGGAATGAAATCGTAGAGTTGTTGGATGTACGTACATTGATTGGCTAGCTTAGCTGGTCATCTGTCTCACTATGTATATGTTCGTGTGTATGTATGTATGTGTGTATGTGTGGAATACGATCTACGTACATTGCACTGGCACGCTACATACGTACATACATACATACATACATACATACATACATACATCGTTGGAAAGCAAGTAGCTAGACTTTGGAACATCAAACGGACCAGAACCCAGCATATACACACCTACATGACAAAACTACGTACGACAAGGGGGGCACCAACACGGGACACACATCAAACCGGCGGTATCAGTATCCCCCCCCTCTCTCTCTCTCTTTCAAGCGCAAGCGCAAGTGGCTGAGGGTGACGTGGCTGAGGTTCCAAAGTGGCTTAGCTCGGAGCATTCAATCTAGTCCCACGAATCAGGTGGCACATGGCAAGAAAGCTTATGTGTGGCGCGGCACTAAATTAAAAAAAAAAGACCGTCCGCCCGTTCGCCGCCGCCGTTCGCCGCAGCAGCCGTTCGGTATGTGGGGGGAAGGGGGCGGATTTTCTTCTGGGAAGCGGGAAATACTGTTTTTGGGGGGGAGCGAGTGAAAGAGAGAGAGAGAGAGAGAGAGAGAGAGGAGAGAGAGAGAAAGTGTGTGTGTGTGTAAGAGATTTTAGTAGGAGTAGGAGTAGTAAAAGGCTATTAGAACAAGTGGGTAGATATTGATTCATGGCTGGGTTTGAGTGAGTGAGCGAGTAAGTGAGTAGGACAAGGGACTCGATGCAAATCTCTGGCCTAGTACATATGCATACGTAGCTGATACCGGGAAAGGAAGAGTGAGAGAGTGGGGGGAAGTGAGGGATGTGGAGAGAAAAAGAGAGAGAGAGAGAGAGAGAGAGAGAGACGCTTGGACAGTACTCGAGGTTCGTCAGGCGCTCTCACAACGACACAACAGCAAAAAGCTTCACAGAAAAAAAAAACAGACTGCACACAACATAACCATAACAACACGCCGTACCATGTAAGTGAAGAAAAAATAATAAGAAAAGAAGGAGACAAAAAAAGTACAGGTGGCGAGAATAGGAATTTGGTATCATGAACAAATGTACAGGAAACAAAAAAGTCTCCAAAAAATAGCCCTTGCTGAACTCTTTCTCCCATGGCTCAAAATACCCGATCATCATTCTCCGTTATCCACACGTCGTTGATGGGGAAACCAGACGAAATCAAAAAGCAAGACTACCATGCTACGGATGTAACGCTCCGTGGGCAGCTATTTCCCTAAGCGACCATGGTCTGATTCGGATAGTCTGCAGGCTTGCCGTCTGATCCGGGCAGCCTTGCGTTTGCATGTGCGAGGCCTGATTGCGCGGCCTCCTGAAGCTGGGCCTCGACGCTTCGTTCATGCTCGCGTTCACGTTCATGTTCACGCTCGCGCTCGCGCTCACGTTCGCGCTCTGGTGGACTACTGCGAGACGGGGGTATTCGTGATTCGTTGGGCGCTTCGTGTTTCACTGGTGGCTGCGCGTGTGGCTCAGAATGCTGCGCGTGAGATGCTTGGTGCTGGGGCGTGTGTTGAGGCGTATGCTGGCCATTGCTGTGTGAGCCGTGTGATGGCGTAAGCCCGTGATGCGGTGGACTCTGCATGGCCGATGGACTCGCGGTGCTTGCGCGGTCGCCTGTTTCGTGATCGCTCGTCTCACTCTGCCCATTGCTGGCCGTTCCAGGAGGATACGTGTAGCCGCCGCGCAACTCGCCCTCGCGCACCTCTTTCCACGAGCACTTTGCGTGCTTCTTGGTACAGCCCATGCACGCCGTGAGGTTCTTCAAGCAGTCCATGTGCAGTCTCCGGCACCGGTCGCAGGGCGGGATGATGCGTTCGCCTTTGGCCAGACTCTCCATCCTGTGCACCATTTCCACCTTGAAGGGGCCTCCGTCGTCTTTCTCGGGTTGCTGGCTAGCGCGTTGGCTCGCAGCTGGGAGGAGGTTGGAAGGCGTGTTGGGTATAGGAACAGGCGAGTTCATCATGGTATGCAGCTCCGACTCGTTCAGAGGATGCGAGGGTCTTGCAACTGGCTGCTGGGGTGTTGGCGGGCCCTCGGCCGGCTTTGCAGTCGCTCTGGGTGGGACTGCCGCAGGCGTAGAAGGGTGCGAGGCCGTATGGCTGCTCACAGACGGTCTCCGCGCTTCGGCATTGGCCGTGGGTGGTTGCGACGGCGTGCGGCGGTCATTGACGGTGTGAAACTTGGATAGCAGCTCGTGGCGGGTAGACGACGAGGAGCCATGGCCGCGACTGTGACTATGGCCATGGCTATGGGCGTGACCATGGGCGTGGGCGTGATTGTGGTTGTGCCCATTGGATTCGTGATGCGGGCGCGCATTGACTGCTACAAAGCCGCTGCTTCCCGGTGACTGCGTGTGCTGCGTGTGCTGAGTGTGCTGAGTGTGCCCTTGGGCGTGGCCCTGGCTGTGTGGTGCGTTTGGGACGTTGGAGCTGTTGCCGTTCATGAGGGCGACGTTGGAGGGACTCGTGGGGCGCGGTATCTGGGGCGCGGGGCTTGCTGTCGCTCTACGATCGAGGATTGCCTGCTTACGGCCTTTGAGTCGGTGGTTGAGCTGCCTGGTGCGGGCAGCCACTGTTGCTGTTAGCGCCGCTGTCGCGTCAGCGGGTCCATGAAGCCTTCACTCACCTTGGTCGGCCAGAGAGCATATCTGGCTCAGGTTCTTTTCGAGAATCTCCATGGTGCCCAGCTCCTTCTCCTCATCCTCAATGATGGGCTGGGGCGGAATCATTTTTTGGGGAATGCCCGACGAAATCAAAACAAAGTCTTCCTCTGAGATTTGCACGCGACACTGTTTGGTGTAGAACTGGCAGACCCGGACGCCCTCGCTCATCTGGTCGAGCTGGAACTGCTCTGGCTTGTTGCGCGCAAACTCGACCACGTCGAGCCACGTCACGGTAGTGCCGTCCTTGCCATGGCTCTTGAGGACGCGCGGAGGGCCGTCGAATAATCGCTCAAAGCGCTTGATGAGGATGGGACCCAGCGGCCTTGCGCCGAGGTTGCAAGCCATGCTCTCATGGCGGTCGAGGACGCCCTGGTAGTCGCTGAGCAGCGAGAGGATGTTGGGCAGGGTGTCGTCGTTGGTGATTAGCGGCAGGTCGGTGTCGAGGTGCCTGGCGAGGTAATTGATTTGCAGATGGTTGTGCTTGGCGGTTTTGGGCAGCGGCGCGGGCGGCAGGTGCATCTCGTGCGAAGGGCTGCGCTTGCGCTTGAGGTCGCTGGGCAGCGGCGATGCATGGTGGGCAGTAGGGTGCAGAGCCATGGCGCGGTCGGGCGGCGGGTGAGCGTCGTTGGTGGTGGCCATACCTGGGCCTGGGGGGTGAAGGGGGGGGGGGCGGGCGAGGTTTATTAAGTGCGTGGGCGGAACGGGCAGAGGGCAGAATCGAGGGCGGAGCGGCGGGCGCTAGCGAGCAGCCAACTCAACTAGCACGGCGCAAGAGCACGGCGGGTTGCACAGGGGAGCGGAGGCCGCAGGCTACAGGAGGAGGCACATGTCGCAGGGAGGGCGGGCGGGATGGCGAGGATGGATGGGGGTTGGGTGTGTATGTATGTACGTATGTATGTATGTATGTATGGAGGGTGTGTGTAGTAGTAGTGGTGGTAGTAGTAGTGGTAGTAGTAGTAATGGTGGTAGTGGGGGTGGAGACGGCGACGAGGGAGGGAGGGAGGCAGGGGAGACGGAGGCAAATAGGGAAGGGAGAGCAGCGGGCGGGTGGCTGAAGAGGGCCGAGCGAGGGGAGGGTGAGGAGGTGAGGAGGGTGAGGAGGGCGAGGGCGAGGGCGAGGGAGCCGGCTATAGGCCACACAGGCTGCAGGCTGCAGGCAACACCTGGCGTGGCAGCAGTGGCAGCAGTTGGCAGCACTGGCACCGGCTCTGGCGCGGGCGCGACGGCGACGGCGGCGACGCAGCACTGGCGGGCGCGCAAGAGCGCTGGCACTGGGGGGCTCTGGGGGGCTCTGGGGGGGCAGGGCGTGCGAGGGCGACGCGCCGGAAATAAGAGCGAGGCCTTGCGCGGCGGAGGTCCTCGCCAATCAGCGGGCGGGGCGCAGGGCAGGGCCGGGCAGGGCAGGGCTGGGCTGGGGGTGATAAGGGCAGCCGCATGGGCAGGCAGCGTTGGTGGTGTAGCAGATTCAGGTTGAGCCGAGCGGCCTGAAACTGAGCCATTAACTGTCGTCGCCCGCAGCCCGCGTGCCTGCGACGCCCGCACTGGCACAGCCGTCCACTCACACGCCCGCGCCAAACCGCCGCACACCCGGCGCCTGCCCGAGGCGTGACGAAAATCCCGCAGCGCCCACGCGTCTCAATGTAATCCACCCGCAGGCGGAGGCAGTCTGGACGCGGCGGCGGAGATGGGCCTGTCGCCCGGCCTCCTCCCCTGCTCCCACCTGCCCTCCCACCTTCCACCACCTCCCACCACCGCCTGCCCACGTGACCGGGCGGGATCACGCCGGCCCGCCGCACAGACCGCAGTCTTTTGCCGCTTGCTGCTCGCTGCCGCTGGCCCTGCACGTCACAGCTCCCTCTCGCCACTGCCCACCCCGACCGCGCCACACACACACTCTCTCTCTCTCTCTTCCAGCGCAAACACCATGTCTGAGCGAGGCGCTTTCCGTGGCCGTGGCGGCGCGCGAGGCGGCGACCGCGGGGGTCGCGGCGGCGGCCGAGGCGGCGGCGGAGCCCATGGTGCTGGTGCAGGCGGAGCTGCCCATGGCCACACGGAGCGCCCCAAGAAGGAAAACATCCTCGACCTCAGCAAGTACATGGACAAGCAGATCACCGTCAAGTTCAGCGGCGGCAGAGAAGGTACCTAGGCCCCCCCCAATTGCCCGCCATCACTCACCCTGTGCGCCCTGGCCTAACTCTCCCCGCAGTCGTTGGCATCCTCAAGGGCTACGACCAGCTCATGAATCTTGTCCTCGACCAAGTCAAAGAGGCCCTTACCGGTATGCGCCCCATTCCCCCCTCTGACTCTCCCACACCTGACCCAAGCAGACGAGGACGGCAACATCCGATACCGCAAACTCGGCCTCATTGTTGCACGTGGCACCCTGCTCGTCGTCATCTCTCCCGTGGACGGCAGCGAGGAAATTGCAAACCCCTTCTTGCAGGAAGAAGAGTGAAGCGTGACGCTGGCAAAGAAAGAAAGAAAGAAAGAAAGAAAGAAGAAAAGGCTGGCGGCTGTTGTGCAGAGGAGAGCAGGTCCGCATGGGCGTGGTGGCAGGCGTCAATCCACAGGCTGCGAGCAGCTCGGGGGCGTGGACCAGGGGGCGGGTGTGAAAAGGGCAGGAGACCCAAATACGATACCCATGAGGCACATGCGCGACGAAAGACAAAAGCAGGGTGCAGGTGCGGCGGCCATGATCGGCTACGCGGCCGCTGCCGGGCTGCTCGCCCTTGGCACCACGACTACATGCGAATGATACGAATCAAAAGTTAGCCGTTGTGATGAACACGATGCCTGAGCCGATCCGCTGTGACAGGACCCCCCTCTCTGCTACCACATGTACATGCCTGGCCAGTCTCATCAAAGGCATACGCGGCTGAGGTGCAGTCGCTCGCGCCCGACGCCGTCGACTACACTGCAAGCGTGCAAGCCTCAATATAGGATGTATGCAGCCGAGCGTGGAGCGATATGCGACCAGGGTTGGGCGTGCTGCGTGAGATGGATGCCGTGTGTGCGCAGAAAGGTGCGGCATGGAGGCTCGGTGTAGAGCAAACGGGGTGCGCGTGTCACGACTCACAGCCCACGTAGCCCAGCGGGCGTCGTCGCAACGTCGCCAATGCATCCGCCGTGGGCATTACCAGGCGACGGGGAAATGGCCGAGCCCGCCCACGATGCAATCACGGCCGTGTTTGCAGTATTGTTTCGTATAGCCAGACGGTGCATCGGCTGGGTGGCCCTCGTTTACCGGCCTGCACTGGTGCTGGTACTGCTACTTGGTGTATAGTATATGGCATGGACATGGATTGGACATGGACATGGGCGCTGGTTCCCCACAGAACCCCGAGACCCGTCTTGCACACCACCCCCTCATCAAAAGAAATCGAACAGTACTAGCCCGAATACAGTTAGAGACTGTTCGGTTTCTTTTGAGGAGGTGGTGACACCAAGACCAGAGATCCCAAGACAAGCACGCGCAGAAAAAGCTTGATCACGCCACTTGGGCACCGAGTCGCCCGTGTGGCTGTGCAGCGCGTGCGCGTGCGCGTGCCTGCCTGCGCCTCCGCCGCCGCCTGCCCTGCCCAACACGCGCGCTAACCACGTCGGTTTCACATGGCCTCAGCCTCGCATGCGCCAGGCACCAGTCTTCAATATTGATACAACTCAGGCTTACGTCCTCGCCGCCGCTCATCTCCTGCCTCGCCTGCTCCAGGCCCTATTCTTGCCAGCATTGCATCTAGTACTAGCTGTACGTGTCAAGCGCACTGAAACATCACGCGCTGCCTTGTGCCGCCTGCGTGCATAACCCTATCAACCTGCCGCCCTGCCGACCTTCCCTCTTCAACACCGCCGCCATCGGTCCGACGTGCCCTCTGCTCGCTACTCAACACCTTCTGTATACGGGTGCGGGGTCATCGTTTCGACTTGCGACGCAATCTGCGACGGGCCATTTGACCGTCCTATCCAGTCCACTCCAGTCCACTCCACCCCCGGCCTCCCGTCTGCTTTGTCCCCGGCGCCGGGACACACCCATTGCCACGCGTTACCATTACCCTGAGTGCCGATATGCCTGCCGAGCCATCCTTCTCCGAGCCATGGGCACAACCATCGACAGGCTTGCCATCTGCCCTCGAGCTTGGTACCAAGACCTGGACCACACTGGCCGCCCTAGCCGTACCCCTACTCTTCTGCGTCGCCGCCCTACAGTACCGCAAGATGCAGCAGCGGCAACAGAAACCATTTCCCTTCTTGGACCTCCCCCAGGAGCTCAGAGACATGGTCTACGAATACTTTCTCCATGACCCCGTATACCCGGCCCCGGCGCCAGTGCGCCCAACGTTTCCGACTTCATCGCTTGACTGGATGAAGCCGGGGCGCTGGACGACAGCCACGACGGCAGCAAGCGCCTCGCCGCCACAGCCGGGAAGCAAGTGGCTGTTCCTTGCCAACAAGCAAATCTACGCCGAGTACATGGACATGTTGTGCAAGCGGAAAACCTTCCATTTCAACGTATCACCCGAAACCTACAAGCCCATGACCGCCACGCCCCCCACGCCCAATCCCAGCACTCCTCCCTCAGCCCCTCCGTCATCCCTAGCCCCCCTCGACACGAACGTGTGGAACATCTCGCCCAGAACTCTCTCCAAGATTCACACGTGCTCGCTAAAACTCGTCACTACATCCTCGATGCTCGGCGTCACGGACCCACGCTCCATGACGTCTTCCTCATGGACCCTAGGCCAGCGCATGCGCTCACAACTCAAGCACATGTCTGCCGTGCACACGTTCACGCTCGACGCAAAAGCCCTCGGCGATCCGCTCTGGAACCCCCTCTGGATATGGTACCATGCCTCGCAGTCGCTCAAGCTGCTCGGCACAGACCTGTCTGACACGGTGCCTCGCGGGCCCCAGCTCACCCAAATCACCTTTTCGCTCGACACCTGGTCTCCTGGCGAAAATCACCTCCGTAGGCATGCCAAGGACGGTTGGTTCTGGTTCTGCAACAAGGGACATCGAGTCGTGAGTGATGGCGGCGCAGACATGACGGTAAGAGAGTTTTGCGCAAAGCTATATATGGAGTGTAGTATTTGCTGGGTCGATCAGGGCGGGCAAGCCTCCAACTAGAAATGGTTTGAAAAAGAGACGGTGAGTGGATCATGACGGGTTAGAAATGGGTGGGATAGCGCTGGTTGTTGTCCTCATGACGTTGGATATTGTTTTTTTATCATTCTTCTCCGTCTATTCTTTTTTTTTCTTATCTTATTGTAACAACACTTAGCACGCATCACTTCTTCCGCGCAATCCAGAAAGCTGGCCGATACGTGCTCTGCAGCATGCTCCTCGTATTGGTAATATACCCCGTTTGAATCGTGTCTGTCTCGTGCTTCTCAATGGCAAATCCAAAGTGCTCGACCAGCGCAATCACCTCTTCCTGCGTGAGTTCAAAAGAGCCTGGATCCCCGATTCCCGCATCTCCCTTGCCCATGCTTCTCTTCCTCTCCATTTCTTCTTCATCATTCTCTTGATCCTCCCCTCCTCCATGCCCTCTTCGCGACGACGGCGGTGGCGGTGGATGCCATAGCAACGGCCCCAGGTTAATCCACACACCACCAGGCTTCAACGTGTTCCTCACAGCCTCAATATACCGAATCAGATTCGGCGCCGTGTCAATGAAAAACACCGTCGTGACTGCATTGAAGGCACCCGCATACTCCTGCTTCCCGTACACAACGCAGAAATCCCCCGTCGACATACCGAGCCGCTCCGCCGCCGGGACCCGCGAGCCCTGAGCCTCCCTCACCGCAAGCACCGTCGCGGGATGCACATCTGGCACTTTTACCGTGCGCAGCTGGTCTGCACGCGACACGTGGTTGGAGCTGCTGAGCGCCCACGGCGCAATGCTAAACTGGCCCGCGTGCTTTGTTTCGTTGAGCGCGAGCGCACTCGCCATGAGCATGTGGTATGAGATTTCGTTGCCCTCGACGCTGAAGCCTAGCCTGCAAATGTCGAAGACAAGCCTCCCAAGACCCACGCCGGGAACCAGGATGCTGAAGGTAGAGCGGTCAGGCCGTGTGTCTGTTGATTCCGAAGAACAAGAGAAAATGTATTCTTGCTCGAGGGCACCAAGTACAGGCGCAAAACACGCAGCGCGCTCACCCTCGCCTTCAAGACTCCATTCGCGGTAGAACTGGTTGATAGCGCTGCGCGCCTTATCCACGTCATGCTGGGACGCACCGGATCCACTGCCCCGCGCAATCAGAGCATCAAGCACAACATCAAAGACCTTGAACTCGTCGTGCGCATAGCGCTCCGGCACAATCGACGCCGCCCACTCGCTGTCGAGCGTCGGCGCGAGAAACGCCTTGAAGCCCGCGCTGAAAATGGCTTCGGCGAGCACCGCGTTCTGGTCAATCAGATCGTCTATCGTGGACAGCGTTGAGAGAAGCGAGAAGGGAGGCCGAGATAGCAGTGTCCAGTGTGCTGAGGGCAGCGAGTAGAAGGCTTGGCGCCGCGTGTGTGTTGCGTTGTAGTGGGCGTGCCGGCGGTACGATCTACATGTCTTTTGTTAGTGGTGATGTACTTATATATATAGAAAGTATGTATGCAATGGATGCATGTCATCTCGCCAGTGAGACGAACAAAGTGGGCGGGCAATCTGGGCTTGTAAGTACCGGAATGAGTCTAGCACTGAGATGATGAGTCGTTGTTCCTCTGGGTCCGATGCCAGATCGTATGGCTCCGGCTGGAATTCGTCTTCCATTTTTTTTCTCTTTTTCGTTCTTTGTGAATCTATGTATGGATGGATGCACACTACTCAGACCCCGTCGTCTTCTCCCAGCAGCAGCCTGGATCAAGACGTTGATTGCAATTTATCGAGGTTCTACGGGAGACCTAAAGGGTTTTAGACTGGGGCTTTCTTTTCTCTAGCTTAGGGGCATGATGGAGTGATGTTTGACTGGGTCGTAAATTGTCCTTCTTTTGACGTTGGTGATGCTAAGTACATAGTACTTACCCCACCTAAGTACCTGCCCACTTGACCGCCCGCCCACCCCATCCATCCATCCCCATTCAACCCAAGTACCTCCACCACCGCACCACGCCACCATAACCCCCTCATCGCCCTCCACATCCCGCAATGGCAGCCCCAAACGCACAAAGCGACGCGCCAATCGAAGTCTCGTTCCCCCTGCCAAAAGCACCCGCTACCAATATCCATCTGCAGCTTACAAACAACGGCCCTAATCTCGTCGTCTTCCTTACGACCGCCTCGCCGGAATCCGCGTCGGCGTCTGCGCCGCTGGGCTCGTTCGTATACGCCATGCCTAATGTGCGTGTTTTCTCCGTCCTTTCCTATGCATATTGCAGCGTGGTTGGCATTTCGAAAGTAAACATGGCAATGCTAATTGTAATCGGGGTTTTGTGTAGAAAGCCACGCCGGCAGATACGCTGAGCACGCCGCTTTACACGCACGGTGCGACGCTGGATTTCACAACGCGCCTGGCAAAGGTGCTGGCGCGGAAATTGGGGAAGCCCGTGTATGTGGGCAATTCTATGAGCTTTGCGAGTGCGGGCATGGGCGGGACGGTCGAGGAAGAGATGGAGGGGTTTCGGAGGGTGGTGGGGGTGGTGGTGGGGTTGTTGACGGACAAGAATTGAGTGTGGTAGATGCAGCAATGGGGGTTTGCGCAAGGGCGAGCAGGTGTATCGGGGTTGTTCAGCTCAGCTGATCCTCGTTCATATGAGTGAGTTACGATTGCCCATTTGCTGGCTGCGACTGACGGGGCTAATTCAAGAACAGGCATGACGAGTGCAGAGGAGTATTAACTTGATTGATCGTGTGTAACACTCGTTTATCCTGGTAAGGCTTGATGCCATCCCGCCTCATCGATCCACCCGTAGGCATCAGAGCATCATTTCATGTTCGACAGCCGTTTACATGTCTCCAAGCCTCTCCTTGGCGCTCTCCTTGGCTTCTTCAGAGACATTGGGGTTGTTGAGAGTAGCCTTGAGACCACCGGCAACGTTGTTGGGGTTCTTGTCTCCGCTGTTGGAGGTCATGGACTGAGGGTCACCGCCGTTCTCAATCTCCTGGAGGACCTCCTTGGAGTGCTGCTTGGCCTCATCGGAGGTGTCTGGGGGATGTCAGTAAGAGCACGAAGGAGATGTCGAGGGAAAACGGACTGGGGTTGCTTAGGTTGGCCTTGTGGCCTCCGATGATGTTTCCTGGGTTGGCAGACATGGTGACGGTTGCTGGTTGGAAAGTTGGAAAGTTGGAAAGTTGGAAAGGTGGTGTTTGGATGTGTAGAGTGGAGATGGATGAGTTGATGTGTTTGATGAGGATGGAAAGACGAAGAACACAGGCCTTCTTATACATCTCTCACTGCCTGGAATCACGTCACCTTTGTCGTCGCTACACCATCAAACCGCCCATCGTGCGATCTCCCTCCATGCCCTGACTCCTCCTACGTCAACGATCGGATTCCCGCACACCAAACAATGAAATCTCAGATGAGCAACCCTAGGCCAGGCACAAGAGGTGACGGGACTAGCCGCTTGCGTTGGATGAAGGCATCATTGTCCAAAAGCCACTGTGTGAATGGCTAGCAACATGGCAAAGTTCCAGGTACGCATCGGCCTATCCATGGGCATGGCCAATTGCCATGTTGACCCTGACGCAGCCCGGGGTGACTTGGCGGGACCCGTTTTGCGGCCCCGATCTCAGATCTTGCATGCAAATCGTGCGTTCAGCCGCAGGGGGAATGACGGGAATGGGAAGACCAAAGCTAAGCAAGGGGGCTAGCGTGAAGTTTGTTGTGCGAGACAATGGCTGCCATGTAAAAGGAAATGAAAGCCATTGCTGATGTCATTGACGCGCCCATGTGCTTTGGCGTCGACGCGCACCGCGAGCAGCACCACCATGTTCTTGCAGCCATGTTGAATTGGCGATATCGGCTCAGGCACCCAGCTTTCACCGCCATGCTGCGTCTTGTTCGGGGGGATTCATTTTTGCTCTTCCACTTCCGTTTCACCGGTTTGCCAGTCGAGAGCAGAGTTACAGGAAAGGCACATTGCTTTTCTCGCACCGTCATCATCATGTATGTGAACGTCGTCATGGCCGCGCCCTCCGCTTGGACCACCAAGCTGACGCTGCCCTCACCGACTGACTTGGAGACACTACAGTGCCCGTGCACCAGATGAGCACCATCGCCAGTTGAGCACCCCCACCACCACAACAACAAAACTTCAACGCGTCAAAACTCAACCAATA